CTCTTCCACAAAATACCGACTTCTGCGCATGGGCCACGAGGTTTCAATCGCACTGTATGTGCGCGCCTGCACGTGGTATTTTGTGGAAGAACCACACTCAAGGAGCCAAAGAGCCGCATGTGGCTCGCGAGCCACAGTTTGCCGACCACTGGGCTAGGGCATGTAATAGCCATTCTTAGCTCATGAGCTGTACAAAGTCAGCAGGATCCTCACAGCCCAGCACTAGAGGATCCCTGAGCCCTCTCAACTCATGGTTTGGTCAGACTGTCAAGAGTGGAAATCTGGAATTAAGTGGCAATACATGTAAAGGGTTTTATGAAGAATGGGAAGTCATCCCCACCACCGCAAGAGTTATTTTAGAATCTTGGCCCCAGAGTAAACATATGAGGAGGGCAATCCAAGAAATAGCTGTGTGGGCGTCTAGTAAAGTCAACGGACTTCAGACGTGTCAAGGGGTTAGGTCTGGACCTCTGATTAGAAGAAGCCAAGATAATCGAAGTACAGGACAGGGGTGATGGGTGTTCCCCTCACAACGACCAATTCTGATGCCAATTGGGTGTCCTACCCTTACCAGGGATTGAGCCCACAACCTGGGCATCTGTCCATATTGGTCTATATATATGTATGAATATATGTCTATATATATGTATATATATCAATGAAAGACTTTTGAGCATGTATATGTGTAATATATATTAAAAGTCTTTCGTTGATCTCCCTTTTATATTTATCTGCAACCAAATATATCCATTAATTGAACTTATATAAATATTTTTTTCTTTGACCATAGGCCTCCAAGTGTTGAAATTTTTTCTTTTGGATTAAGTTATTATTTTCACACAATTAACCAATAAAATATACATATTGCCTATTTTTATATTTAATTACTAAACACTCAAAGTAAATATTTGTGGAAATTCATCTCTTGCTGAGACAGGGTAAGACTATTTTTTAAAAATCAGTTAATGAATGAATATTTCTTATCGTTAGGCTGAGATAGGAATTAACAGCTATTTTCTGCCATTTTTTAATTTGTATAGGTGCAGCTAATTGGAAACCTTGGGAATGGATGGAGTTTTGTTACAACACTGTCACCCAATTCTTTGAATTTTTCCAAATTAACCGTTAACAATCATACTGTAATCGTTATTCTGAATGGTCAACCAGCTGGTGATTCAGTGAGATTCTCCTTCAGTTTTTTTAAAGCTAACATTACGATCATTCACTTCCTCAATTTCTGGGAAGTATGCCATAAAGGTTTGACTGAGACCTTCACATGACTGTAAATTACACCCCTGACAGTTTCTCTGCAACACTTTGGTAAACCCAAGATACTCAGAATGGGTTAGATCTAGTAAAACGTTACTAGTTATATCTCCCAGTGTTAAAAATTTTTTTATAAAGTGCTTGTATCAAATAACAATTTTTAACTATTTCACCAAAACTTTGAAGCTACAAATATTTTTTAAAATATATTTTAATTGATTTCAGAGAGGAAGGGAGAGGGAGAGAGAGAGAGAAACATCAATGATGAGAGAGAATCATTGGTCGGCTGCCACACTGGGGATAGAGCCCCGCAACACGGGCCAGTGCCCTGACCGGGACTCGAACCGTGACCTCCTGGTTCATAGGTCTACACTCAACCACTGAGCCACCACGGCCGGGCTGAAGCTGCAGATTTGACTCATTTAATTTGTGAGAATGTTTGGCATGAACATAATCGGAAATGCCAGTCTTTTACTGTCAACAAAAGCAGGCGAATCAGACTTGTTTCTGTCAGAAAGAATCTCATTTTCTTTTTCAGCTCAAATAAGCATGTTAGAATGCATCCTTATTTTTTTATTCTTAATTCTAAGAAAGGTATGTGTAGGGAGACTAGATAGATAGGTAGATAGATAAATAGGTAGACAGACGGACAATAGTGATGCGGATGAAATCAAGTGCAGCTGCCTTCAGTACTTGTTATTGGTGCACTTTTGTCCTGATATCAGTGGTACATTCACTGAAGGAAGGAAGTTTGTAAAATGTCTCAGCTCCTGCTGCCCCGTTGTGCAATCCAAATTCTCTTTTGCTAATGCCTTGTTTTGCTTTTAACAAAAAATATGTTAGACGGGGAAGGCCTGAAGCCCGTCCTTGGGTTTATAATGCCTTGATTAAGAGGCTTTCAAATAGTCCCTCTGTTTGATGGCACAGAGGCCTTCACTCCGTAGGAAGATTCAAGGAAGAGCAAGTTTGCCTTCATTTTGTGAAGTGGGAGAGGAGTGCGGGAACTGACAATGTGTCACCCTCTGTGCTTTCTTAGGAAGACACTGCTAAGGAAGAGAACACTGGTCCCAGCGAGGCCGGCCACACCACCATACATCTTGCAAGGCTTTGGGTTGGGGAGGTAGCGGGAGGGGTTTGTGTGCCTCAGTCTGAAGACTTCCACTAACACTACCTGGGCTTTTTCAGTGATTGAAGTCTGGCCTTTGCCTTTTTGAGAAAATTGTATTTTGGAAATCCTTCCTATCTTTTTTTTTGTAAAGGCTATATGGCATTCCATTGTATGAAAAGTAGCATATTTATTTACAAAAAATTAGTAAACAGAAACCTCATTTCAAATGTAGTAGGGCTCTGAGCAGTGGTTAGAGTGTCAACTCGTACACCGAAGGGTCACAGGTTCTGTTCCCCGTCAAGGGCACATACCTGGGTTGCAGGTTCAATTCCTAGCCCTGGTCTCAGGTCACATGCAGGAGGCAACCAATAAATGTTTCTCTCTCTCTCTCTCTCTCTCTCTCTACTTTCTCTAAAAATAAATGGGAAAAAATATCCTCAGGTGAGGCTCAACAAAACAAAACAAACAAATAAAAAAGTACTAGGGAGGCCAGAAGGGGGCGATCTCTCATGCCCTACATAGTCCTCAAAGCATAACAGGGAGCTCTCTGTTTATGGTAGTCCTCCCAATTTCCTCTTCCCCTCTACAAAATAGTTTCCTCTTTGTTTTAGCAGACTTGTATGCCATGGTTGCTTGTTCTGTGTTGCAATTCTTTGTTACTCCTGAATCGACCTATTTTGCTGGCAAAATATCTAGCTGACTTTTTGTGCCCCCAAATGGATATTTAAGTTGCTTTCCATCTTTTTTTGTGATTACAAATAATGCTGCGATGAATAACTTTGTACATACTCCTTGGCACACAGGCGGGAAGATACCTAGGGGGTAAATCCTAGGTGTGGATTGCTGGGTCTGAGAGTATTTACAGTTGTCGGGGGTGTTGTCCACAGTAAAGGCTGCACCCATTTACATTCCCAGCAGTGAATGAGATTACCTGTTGCCACTCACTCTGCCCAACCGCAGTGTGCTATCAAATGTTTAATCTTTGCCAGGAGGAGTGTAAATAATAATTATATCTCAGTGTAATTTGATTTTGCATTTCTCTTAATATGAGCACAGTCTTCTTCTCACATGTTTACACCCCTCTGTATTCTTTTCTGGGAAAGAACTGTTCATGCCTTTTGCTCAGTTTTCTATTAGATTAGTCTTTTTCTTGAATTGTATTAACACTCTATTTACTAAGGAATTAGGCCTCTCTCTCTCTCTCTCTCTCTCTCTCTCTCTCTCTCTCTCGTCAGAAGTGCTACAGATATTCTTCCCCAGGTTATCATTTGCATTCTGACTTCAGCTATGCATTCCTATGTGTGTTGTGCAGAAATCCCTCATTTTTAGGTAGTCACGTTTACAAATCAATTTATGACTTGAATTTTATGTCTCACTTAGAAGCACTTACTCTGGAATTATTCTTTTTAACTCTACCAATTACCACAAAAATGAAATAGATATTTTCCTTGAAATGACCTTAAATGAACAGTTAATTAAGAAGCATAGACAACGTTTAATATAAAGTCCCCCTACCCAGGAACAGGGTGTTCTTCCCACTTGTTCACTTCTCCGCTGCGCCATTTTGAAATGTCAGGTGAGGCTGCTCCCTGGTCGGTAGTCTGAATGTGCCCCCTGCTCAGGGGAAGCAGGTCCCACAGCTCCCAAGGATCGGGGACCCTTGTGGAGGCCTGATTGGACAATGCAGGGCTGAGGGAATGGCAACTTGCCCCTTGTCCCCTCTTCCCTGCGCCTGTCCCAGTGGCTGCCCCTTCTCTGTTGCAGAGGTTGCTACATTTGTGACTTAATCAAGCCTCATCGCCACAGAAGCACCTGGAGATAAACAATCAACCTGACACTTCCTTGGAAAGGCCTGGTCTCTACTGACCGTCAACACCCAGGACCCATCACAGGGGAGCCAGGGACTTGGGCCACGTATTCACAAAGGGCCTTTCATTTATGCTTCTCACGCCATCATGAATTGAGGTGACTCATGGGAGCACATTGAGAGACGTGAAAGAAGGTATTTACCAGAGAACTTCTATATGAGTCCCATTACCAGACCTCCTGCTAACAGGGCCACGATACATTTTATATAAATCAGGTGACTCGTTTATGAATAGCACAGCTAGACTGCAGGACGTTGCTATAAAGAAAGGAATACTAAAATGAAGCCACATATTTTGAGTGACACATAGTTATCACCCAAATCATAATTAGCACAATACTCTGTTTTGTAAAAAAAAAATGTTAAAGTTATAATTTTACCACCAATTCTGAATTATATGAAGGAAACACTTCAAATATTATACTTTTTTTATACAGAGAAATAAAATAACACTGTATTGTTTTACCACCAATTCCGAATTATATGAAAGAAACACTTCGAGTATTATACTTTTTTATACAGAGAAATAAAATAACACTGTATTGTTTTGAATATGCCAAAAAAAAAAAAGTTTAATCATATACCATGATTTCTACAATTCTGGTTTGGCATAACCTCATTTTCCCCCCAGATGTTAAAGGCCTCCAAAATGGACAGTGCCCCAGGGGTCTTCTGACGGCAGCAACGCCTGTCACTTCAGCAGCTCATCTTATGACCCTGGGATAAGAGGATCAGGGTTTAAGCCCCATCTCAACTCACATAACGATTTCCTTCCGCGTCTGTTCCAGCATCATGTACTGCGTCCACTCCTGTTGCGTTTCAAATGTCTTCGATTGGTCCACAATCTTTTGGAACATTGTCCTCTTCCTACAAAACACACCGATTTGTTAATGGAGCAAATCTTAGAATAAGACACGCCTGGGCTTCTAACATCGGCTATTTCAGATAGAGGCTTCTTAAAACAACATGATTACCAAAACAACATTAAAAGAACCAGGGCCTGGGAGTGAAGACCTAGGTTTCTAATCCAGACTCTGTCAAACTTGTTATCTGATCTTAGCAAATCTCTTTCCCTGGATCTCAGTTTTCCATCTGTACAATGGGAGCAATACTATCTAACTCACAGAGCTGTGGTGAGAAGTAATGGTCCATAGCACAAGGGTTGTGCCTAGCACACAGTACACATGAATCGCTTGGAACTGTGATGTTTCTTATTGTAATAATCATTGCTATTGCTACTCTTATTCTTAAAATGAGAAGAAATACTAACTTGAAATACAGGGCGAGGTCTGTGGCAATGATGGCTATGTCCATCATGTGGATTGCATGTTCGTGCTGCCTGCGATTGAGGTTTTGGAAGATGTTCAAGCCCTAAGGAGAAAATCAGAGGAGAGGTGTGAGACGTGATCCTGGCGGTAAAGTCACCCAACTACTGATGGTCACCCCAGATGACGGGAGAGGCAGCCCAGGCCAATGGGAAGAGCGCTGCCTGGCCACACGCGGGCTTCATGTGAGGTGGGGGCTCCTGTGCAGAGGGCCCTCCTCCTACCTCATCTCGCAGCAATGTTTTTCCAAACTCCAAGTGGTGTCTTTCCAAGATGGAGGAGCCATGGAGCTTGGCCAGTGGGTTCTGGGATCTGAATGGCAAAGAAAGGGAGACACACACAGAGAGAATCAACATGGAATGGCGGAGATGAAGGTTAAAGACGTCACCCAGTCCTGCCACCTCCTAATTCTGCCGGCAGAGAGGCTAAGCCCAGAGTGAGAGGAACTTGTCAGACAGTGAGGGTAGGAGCCGGGACTAGACATCAGGTCTCCTGGCCCTTAGGCTTTAGCGGATTCTGAGGGTCTCTGGGGTCATGGACTCATTAGAGAAGTTGTTGAATAGTGTGGACTCTCATCCCCAGAAAAAAGCACAAACATACATAATGCCAAGTGCAATTTTAGAGATTCATGTACCTCCTATAGTCATCCATAAACACTGGCGCTGGGCCATTCTTTAATGGTCACCAAGCCCTAAATCCTCCATACCAGAGTCTTAGGGGAAGCCATTAAATCCCTCAAAGCAGTGTGTTTTTTCTCGTCTTTATTTAATAAATTTTTTTTCAGCATTTACCATGGGTCACACAGTGACCTCAGTACTTAGCTTCTCACAAGATAAGATGTAAACACAGTCTCTAGCCTTGGTGCAGCGTGCAAGTATTGAGAAGACTCAGAGGAGCATGTTCTGGTGCTTGTTAATGACTTACAGGTTATGGGCGCTGGGCAGAGCCTCAGTTCCTCATCTGTAATATGGGTATAACATTCATTCCTGCTCTGCCCAGCCCACAAGTTGGTCATGAGGGTCCACCAAGATCATGGTTCAAGGACTATGCTTCAGAGCCTATCTGGGATCTAAGCTCTGAGAGGACAGGGACTGTGTCTGTTTTGTTCAGCATGTACCTCCTTTGCCTAGCTTAGAGCCGACCACACTTGTATTTGGAGCATTATCAATACAAGGTGGATGAATGATTATCAGTTACTAACCTCTTGGCTTAATTTAGTTCAGTAGGTAGGAAGGGAAGGAAGAGAGTGAGGGAGTTTAATGTATTTGTTTGCTGTTGCTGCTATAAAAAATTACGACAAACTCAATGGCTTAAAACTAAAAATGTATTATCTACAGCTCTACAGTTCAGTCTAAAATGGGTCTGCAGACTGCCTTTCTTTCTGGAGACTCTAGGGGAGAACCTATTTCCTTGCTTTTTCTAGCTTCTAGAGGCCGCCTATATTCCTTGGATTTTGCAGCTTATCTTCCACTTCCAAAGCCTGCAGTGTAGTATCTTCTCTCCTCTCTTACTTCCCTCCTCCCCCTTGTAAGGACTCTTCTGATTACATGGGACCCACTCAGATGATCCAGAATAATCCCTATATTTCAAGATCCTTCACTTCATCATAGCTTTGAAATCCCTTTTGAATATAGGGCGACATATTCCCAGGCTCCAGGCATTTGGGCGTGGAAATAGTTGGGGATCATTTATTCTGTTTGTTGCAGGAGTTTACCCAGACCCAAAGGGCAGGAGGAAGTGGGGAGCTGTGGACAGGGGGACTTACCCCTGGGCCAGGGAATCTGTCTAGAAGCTGTTCAGACTTGGGGAATGGATCCTGGGGTAGAGGGTAGGGAGGGGCGGCTGGGAAGGGCTGACTCACTTCATCTGGTAGAGGTTGTTGGTGCCTCTGTGGTCGATGTCGTGGCAGAAGGCAGCGGTGACCATGGCCAAGGCCTCCAGGTCTGTGAAGTATCGTTTCAGCTTTCCGGTCTGGAAGGACAATCAGAGGTGCCACTCACTCCTGTCTTGTAGGATTGGAAGCAGGACTGAAGGGCAAGCGGAGGGCCCCGAGCTTGGAAACATCAGTCTGATCTTGGCTCTGCCCCTGTGGCCGCAGGGAGACCAGATGTTTGCCTGAGATGCAGGACTTTCCATGCTGGAACTGGAACTGTCCCAGGCAAACGGGGATGGCTGGTCACCCTCCCTCCTCCTGGGCGACCTTTGCTGGTCCCATCTCTCTCTGGGCCTCAGTATCCCAATCTGCACACTAGAGGCGAAGGGCATTGGGATAGATGACTGATGAGAAACTTGCGGCCTCGAGGTTGTAGGATTCGGAGGGTTTTTGAACATGGCCAGACTGGTAGAGCCAGCCATCCGAACCTGGTCTACCGGTTCAAGCACAGCCCTGGGGAATCTACCCCTGAGTCTCCCTCATATACCTTGTTGAGTGTTGGAGGGGGGTTGGGGGAGTGGGAAGAGCCTGGAGAGGTGATGCTGACTCTGTGACTCTAAAAACTAAGTCAAGTCTAAGCGGTGTCACCGTCACTTTATTTGGTGACAGAGCCAGAATTCCTGCCTCCAGGCTCCAGTGCCTACTCTGGCCTGACCATTCCAGCCACAGAGAAAGGAATGAGAACGAGGAAGGTGGGGCAGAGATTTGCATCGTTATCTGCATGGGAAATCACTTAAGTGAAATATAAAGCGCTCTGAATCCTCTGAGCCCAAAATGAGGAACACCAACACAAGTTAGCACATCCACCCAAGGGCACAGCAGCGTTGTCTGTAAGGGGGAAAGGGCAAACAAGCCCATGTCCAGCACTAGTGCTGAGTACAAAAATAGGGTATATTTAAACAATACAGGATTCTCTGCACCATTCAATCATATAAGCCTTGAAAATAGTGTGCTGAGCAAAATAAGCCCGCTTCTACTCAAACTCATAGAGATGGAAAGTAGAATGGCGGTCACCAGGAACTCGGGAGTGTGGGGAACAGGGAGTTGTGTGGGATGTGAAAACGTTCTAGATGGATCGTACTGATGGTTGCACAACATTGTGAATGTACTTAATGCCACTAAATCAGTGGTTCTCAACCTTGGCTGCACATTAGAATCACCTGGGAATCTTTTTAAAATCCTGATTTCTGGGCCTCATCCTCCGGAAATTCTGTTTCTTTGTTATGGGCTGGGGCCACAACATTAGTAACAAAGAAACAGAATTTCCGGAGGATGAGGCCCAGAAATCAGGATTTTAAAAAGATTCCCAGGTGATTCTAATGTGCAGCCAAGGTTGAGAACCACTGCACTAAATAGAGCGCCTAAAAATGATTAAAATTTTCCATTACGTATATTTTGCCATAATAAAAAATATATAAAGAGTGTGATTGTATATTTATCTATTTTCAAATAAAAAAGAATATTATAGAATAATAATAAGATGCATGTGTGTGTGTGTGTGTGTGTGTGTATGTGTTTGCACGTGCGTACAAATAAGTTTTGAAGCTTCCAGTAGAAAATTTGGATGGTGCTATGCCAGGATTATCTCCAAATAACTGGACTGGGGTTATAGTCTTGGAATTCATTTATGCTGAGCATGTACTCTTTTGCATAATCTTAAAAAGCAATAAATAGAGATGGACAACGCTGCTGCTGCTGCTGTGTGGAGCTGCACCAGGTCGGTCGTCACGTACCACCAGCAAGGAGAACATGGTCTGCCCCACGTTGAAGCCATGCCGCCAGTTGTGGTAGGTGATCCTGCGGTAGCCCTTGCTCAGGGAGTACATGAACCGCACCAGCGCCTGCAAAACACGCACATCAGCCAGGCAGCAAGGACCCCCGGGTGCCCTGCCTGCTGCACCAGGAGGTGGGAAGTAGTCATTGATGGATAATGCTGTGTGAACCCTTTGCAACTGCTAAGCACTGTGGGAATGGACGTTATGAAATCAGGTGGCTAGAAGTCACTCCGTTTATTTCCACCAATTGAGTTTCATCAGTGATTCCCAAACTGTGCCCCAGATTGCTACTGTCCAGGGAGAAATTAACAGGAATTTTGCAGGGAAGGAAAACAAAAGGGGACTTTAAATCAGTAGCTTTCAAACTTATTAGAATCACCCAGAGAGATTGTTAAAACACACGTTCTGATTCGCTAGAGCTGGGAGAGAGAGATTGCATTTCTGATACATTCTCAGGCTGTGCTGATGTGGCTTGGGGTAACACTTTGAATCCAACAAATCTGGAAAATTCTCACACAATACACTCCCACCTCCACTTTCTCTGTCCATTTCCATACCCCTCCTTTTACAATAAGGAATTCTGCAGGGGAAAAGTCCTTCTTAAATGGACTTAACCGATGTTGCCCACTCTCATTTGACTATAGGACCATTTTTTTTTTTCATCCCATGAACTCACAGCCTTCGGAACTCAGTGCCTTAGAACCCACCTCAAGAAGCCAATGCACCCCAAATGCAGAGGAACTGTGTGTTTCATTTTTGATAAATGACTCATCTGTGCAACATGGCTAATACTTTAAATCCCAAAAGCCAAAGATATACTCTTTTTAAGTATAGATTAAGTTTAAATTTCCAGATTGAGTTTTCAAAGCAAGGAAGCAAGAAAAAGGGAAATCAAGGCGATTTGACCTTACCTCCTGTGGAATATGAAATTTATCTACCACTTTGAGCTCATAATACATCTGTATCCCACATTTCACCAGCTCCAGTTCCGTCAGGGGCAGGTCACTGAAGTGGAATTTATTAATTTCATATTTCTCTGCATCTGGCAGCTCTTCTTGCTGTAGAAGGAATGGAGTCAAGTGACTGTGACAAATCAAGTGTTCCTGTGTCTTTCCCTGTCTCCCCCCAGGCCTGTCCCGGTCCCGGGTCTGCTGGGAGGATCAGAGCAGAGCCACAAGGGTCACTCTTTGCAAACCTCCTCCCTCCTCCCCCATCATCCTCTTAACCCCCCACCCCCACACGCTCAGAGGACACCCTGTGCTTGTTAGGTCAGGGTCAGTGCTCACCAGGATCTCAGCCAGCTCCTCTTCCTCGCAATCCCACGGTTCCTTTCCATACACCTCTCTGGTTTTCTGCCCAACATAGCAGAGGGAAGAAAATAGGTTACTACATCTAAGGTCTAAATATGCCTCCACTTTACACTTCCCTTTGTCTCCTTCCTCTGAAGTCCTTTCAAGAGGACCATCAACTCAGAGAGGCTGCTGGTTTGGGGGGAGTTGTCTTTTTTAAAAAATATTTTTATTGATTTCAGAGAGGAAGGGAGAGGGGGAAAGAGAGAGAGAGAAAAACGTCAATGATGAGAGAGAATCATTGATCGACTGCCTCCTGCATGCCCCCTAATGAGGATCGATCTTGCAACCCGGGTATGTGCCCTTAACGGGAATCAAACCTGGGACCCTTCAGTCTGCAGGCTGATGCTCTATCCACTGAACAAAACCGGCTAGGGCGAGGCTGCTGTTTACCATTCATGGATGAGCAAATTCAGAGTCGTGGGCTTTGGAGCTGGCATCCAAATTTGAGCTCTGCTACTTACTAGCAGTGTTATTGAATGCCTCTGATCCTCCATTTCCTCATTGTAAAATGGGGTCAAAGTACTAACTGACCCGGCCGGCGTGGCTCGGTGGTTGAGTGTTGACCTATGAACCAGGAGGTCACCATTCAATAGCGGTCAAGGGTGCATGCCTGGGTTGGGGGCTCAATCCTCAGTGTGGGGCATTCAGGAGGCAGCTGATCAATGATTCTCTCTTATCATCGATGTTTCTATCTCCCTCTCCCTCTCCCTTCTTCTCTGAAATCAATAAAAATATATTTTAAAATAGTTTTTTAATTACTTGAAAGTAAATTGAAGTGACCCAGCAAGGGGCAGCTGTCCCCAGGCCTCACAGCAGCCATTATGTACAACCCTCTGGCCCTGGTCGATCCATTCATCCATTTCACTTGAGAGTCTGGGGCAAGCCCACCCCAGCCCACCCCCATCTCTCGGAGTTTTCAGTCCCCCCTCACTCTGGCCACATCTCCAGGGCAAAGTCTCTGCCAGAGAGAAGGAGCAAGAAAAGGGCTTTACCCACCAGGATTTTCTGGATTTCTTCATTGTCACACTTCACATGATATTTTACCATATCCTGGAAAATATCCTTCCGATATTCCAGTTTGTTCATTGACTCATAGGTATCAGGATTTAAGACAGACCAGCCCAGGAACTGAGCCAAAGACTGGAGAAAGGAAAAAAAAAAGAAAAGAAAGATCAGAGGCAGAACAGCCAGGTTTGATCCTGCCTCTGTAACTTTGGGCAAGACTCTCTAAGCCTCCATTTTCTCAGCTATAAAATGGGTTTAATAAACCCTTCACAAAGAGATGTTGTGAGGATAAAATAATGCATGGAAATGCACTTTCAGTAAAGCACTAACATACATAAAGCTTCATTCTTGTACATAATAATGCCACAAGAGGGAATGTGTTGTGTGTACATTGGGAAAAAAGGTAGGGGGGTAGATGGGAACTCTGTACTTTTTGCTTAATTTTTCTATGAACCTGATGCTGCTCTTAAAGGTAAAGTTTATTGATTTTCGTAAAACGGGAATGTGGCTTTCTCTAATAACATGTGGCCGTGCAGAAGGGAGAGCGAAGAAAGCAGACCTGGCAGTTAAGTCAGGGTTGCGTGAGCTCCCCGCCCTCCACAGATAGGGCAGCAGCACAGTGGGGTCCCCACCACAGGGCTCCAGAGGCCATGCTCCGGGCGGGCTGACTCTGAAGCTCTGAATCTCAATGGCAGAAGACCTCCTTGCAAACCATACCTCCATGAGGGTCTCGTCCATTTCATCGAAGGGCTTCCCATCTTTGCGATTGTAAAACGTGGCCACCCCAACAATTTCTTCCTTCTTGTTCACAATAGGCATAGAAAGGACATTTTTAATCACCCACCCAGACTCGTCCAGAGGCTCTTTCTACAAGACAAGAACCAGAGTCGGTTTCCTTGAGTACCAGGCTGCAGAGGGAGCTGCTATGCACTGCATGCCGAGTCATGACCCGGGTTGGCTAAGGGACCGCGAGAGCATAGACCTTGTTGGGTTTTGCATAGCTTCAGTCACCAAACAAACGCTAAGAGCAGCTAGTCCATCTGGTTGGCGCTCCTTTAGCCAGATAGTCATATTGTTTTCACTCATGAGATGTCAGGGCCATTGTATGCCAGGCAGTGTGCATACAACTAGTTCAGGGAGCTAGTGTTCCCCATACAGGCGCTGGCCACAGGGGACTCTTAGAAGGGGCCATGTTGGGGATTCTTGTAACTTTGAATTAATCAGGTAGATAGACTGTGCCTTTGCCTCTCTAGCAGACTTCCTGTGTTGCTTTGGCATGTCATTTTATCTCCCTGGGCTTCTATATTCTCATCTATAGAGGGGGCAGTAGTAAGAGCATGTGCTTCGTGGAACCAATAAGAAAATAGAGGTGACATTTCTTGGGCAATCCTTAGGTGCCGTGGTGAGCCACTTCCCATCTGTCTGAGCCTCACTTCCGTTATTTATAAAATGGGGATCACTGAGCTATATACTTTCTAGACTCTCTGCCCACTGATTCATCAAATGTTTATCAAACATCTTACATTGTGCAAGGAACTGAGCTAGAAGCTGGAGAAACCAAGGCAAATAAGGCACAGATGTTGTTCCAAGGTAGCTCGTAACCTGGAAGTTAAATGAGCAGTTACACTGCATGTGGGGAGTTCGGCATGTCCTGAGGAAGCCAGAGGAGGGAAGGGAAGGAAGTCAAGGAAGGCTTCTTGGAGTTGGAGAGTCTTCCAGTTCAAATGTTCCCAAAATTCTTAAGGCAGAGAGATCATTGTTATTCTTTAAATAACACTGGAACTCAGCACCTGTGGGAGGGTGTTCCCAGAGGGATACAGAACATCCCCCAAGGAGCACAGGGCTATGGTCACAAAAGGAGTTCAAGACCTGCCTTCCCCCCCGACTCTTTACTTAGACTTCAGGGAATACTGTCCTTCTGAAGGCCATGATAAGGGAACAGATTTTATTGAAAGTGAATGGGAAAACAGTGAAGATTTTGAAGCAGGGAAGTTACTTGATGTAACCTATGTTTTAACATAAAATATGCATCCTACAGAGGATGAGTGGAAGACGGAAGGCTAGAATCTGAAAACAAGATCAGATTTGAGTTACTAATGTGGGTAAACTGTAATCCATCAGATGATTTGGGTACAGACCAAGTCCTGTCATGGTTATAATCAGGGTAACAACTCTCCGTAACAGTTGGGCCTGTCGCACTGATATAGACAAAATCACAACCCAAAACAGTATATTTTAACTTCGGAGGTATGTTCCCTCTGAGCTCTTTCATAATGTTCTTTAAGGAGTACAAAATAATTCAATAATTGACCTGGCAGTGGTTTTATTCTTCCCTTCTTAATTATTTCCTGATTGCAAAAGATTTGTTCTTGTTAAATTTAGCATAGGAAACTCAAATATTGACAGGATGCCTAGAGCTGAAGAGGTCAAGAAGGATAAGACCTAAACTTTGACCAAAAGAAGACAATATTTTGCTGAAAGGAATTCATCTAAAAGACGAGGAAGGATCATAAAACATGAAGGAGGTACATTAATAGAGAGAAACATTCCTTGGCGTGGCCTTCAGGCTCTGCGTGATCTGGCCTCTGTCTGCATCTCCCCCAGCTCCTCCCCCCATCAGTCTCTCTCTCAGATTCGCTGGCCTCTTTACTTTCTTCCAATAAGCCTTCTCTTTCATGAAATCTTTCCTTTCTTTGCTGCCAAACATAATGTCTCAGGGACACATTCCTTGATTCTTCTCAGATTAAGTCAGCCCGACCGCTGTCCCCAGAGATTTCCTCCTCTATCCCTTGGCCCTTGTCCTGACCTGCTTCTCCCTGCATGTGATCTAACCTCCCTGGAGATAAAGACCATGCCTGGCTGGTCCACCGTTTTAACCAGGATAGCATTGTGCCTATACGCCTGACACAGAGGATACCCTTCACAAACATTTGTGAAAAGGACAAACAAAATCAACTGGAATACTAAACAATATTTCATGAAGATCCCAAGGAGGAAGACATGATATTCAGCTAGGGAAAACAGAATAAAACTTCGCTGAAATTTCATAGCAGTTGAGATTGTCATTGAAGGGCAGAAGGGATTTGGGCAGAAGATGATGGGGAAAGAACAGCATAAGCAAAGGTCCTGGGGTCAGAAAGCAAAGGATATGAATGTTCAACTGAATGGGACTTTGGAATTCACCAAATTAACTCCCTCCCCACTTCCCTGAGTACATGACCTTTTTTCCCCACTCAGGTTTTCACTTGGTGGAGAATGCTTTCCAATAAAGTAGATGGAGTCTAATGTGTTCTAATATTCTTTCAGGGGGGGAAGTATCATGTGACTAATACAGGAGTACAAAATAATTCAATAATTGACCTGGCAGTGGTTTTATTCTTCCCTTCTTAATTATTTCCTGATTGCAAAATAAAAATTACTTACCTGGAATTCAAAAAAGTCCTCTGCAGGCGCGTTCATGATGTTGCAGATCTAAAAGCCGTGAAAAGGCATAATGGAGCTGTTATTAGACTTGACAAAGGGCCAGGTGAAGCAATGCCTGCTCTTTCAGAAACACCGCGTCCTTGCCCAGGGCATCCACATTCTTTTCATCAGGTAGACACGCTCGAGATGGTTTTGAATTATTAACTGAGGCTACTGGACAGAAAAGCCGCCTTGTAAACATTACTTCTTAGCATTTGCTTTGCTCCCGAGTCATTTCCAAACTGTGAAAAAGTAAAGGCTAAAAATTGCCATTATTCAGGCCTGTCCAGTATCCTGTTTTGTTTTCCCTCTTTTATTGCATATTTGGGTTGTGTTCTGTTTTTTCTTTTTATTCGTATAAATAATGCTGCTCTAAGCATTATTTAAAACAATGACATTTGGGTCTGTTTGTTTTGTCAGGGAAGAGTCTTTCCTTCCTTGGAGTACCAATGCCAACGTAGAACAAGGAATGAAGAGTGCTGTAGCGCTGCCGTAATTGCCATTCTTCTCCCGAACATGGGACCCCCCTACCCAACCATGCAGATGGCACTTCTCTGGTCCCGCTAGGGCCCTGCCTGTGGGGCCACTGTGTAGTTGTGTAATGTGTGTAACGCACGAAGGCATGTGGCTAAGGGGATGTCTGGGAGTTGAAATTCTGTCTGGTCTCGACTTGCGAAAGCATTTCCCTAGCCTTTCTCTTTTCATCCACTGAGTCGGGACAGCTTTTTCTAGTTTTCAAAAAGGCACCCTATGGACTTGCAGTGACCCTGCCTGTCCCAACTGGCCTGACCACAAAGTGGTCTCAGAGGGTGAGCTGTCCCTGCTCCTTTGAGAACTGCCCACCCACTGCACCGTCCCACTGGCCTCCCCTTGGACCAGTGCCATCGGTTGCCATCATTCTCTCCTAATCTCTGACCTCTCCCAGGGCTCTTTCCCCTCAGCCCATGAGCATGCTTGAGTCTCTCCTGTCTTTGACAATGAAATCCTCCCTTGACCCCATGTTGTTTCCATTGCAACCATCCAGGTTTTTTCCTCTTGCTTTCACATTCTCTACCTCCTCATTACCCATCCACACCTCAGCAGACCACACACTGGTTTCTGTCCTCGCCACCAAATCTGCTCTCAGGGAGCACACCAATGACCTCCTCATTGCCAAACCCAATGGGCTTTAGTTCTTAGCTCACAGACCACTTGTGTTGCATTTGGTTGTCCCTCTTCTTGTTAAAACTTTTTACTTCCTTGGTTTCCATTTTATTTCCTACATTCTCCTAAGTCTTTAGACACCTCCATCTATTTCTGTGTTGTACTTGGGGGATAATAGAGGGGTAACCAGGCTCAAATATGGAGGTGATGTGCAGCTAACATATATGACCCTTCTCTCTGGAGCAGGGGATGCTGTTATTCCAACCTTGACCCTGAGCGGGTGGGGCATGGTGGGAGGCAGAGCATTTGAGCTCAGCTATCCATGGTAGGGCTGGAAATGTAGCAGAGATGAGGGGTTGGGAGTGGCAGCTAAGTCTCTGGTAGGAAAGGTTGGGGTTTCATCTGTGGTAAGCCTGGAAGACCAGCCAGTCATGACTTTGCCCTGGACATATGCATAAGTATCTTTATTTAGTCAGTGAGAATATTTCTGTGTATTTCATATTTTCTCAAATGTCAATATTCTGTTCATCTCCTTGGACCAACTCTCAAGTGAATTGAGAAATGAGAGAATCGGGCTTTTCGACATCCTCACTTCTCATCATATTCTCCCCCACTCTTGAACTGAAATCCTTTCACTCTTCCACCTGATTTAAAACTCCCCTGCTTCCGAGTTGTATTACTTACCAAGCCATTTTGAGCAACATAAGTGGGAAGACCACTTGCTAAAGCCCAGTGGTCAGAAGGTGGATTCCTGTAAAGGCCAAAGACAAATGGTAACTTTTTCTGTAAGGACAGTTGGACTAAAAACTTGAATCTGGGTCTTTGCCCTCCCTCCATGCTCTGGCTGCTCCCAACACCTGCATACATTACTATACCTGAATGAGTCTCAAATCTTGACTAAGTGTCTTTTTGTATGCAACAGAGAAAGATAAAATGCTTCCAATTAATCTGTAATGCAATGCTTTCTGACCTTATAAATTATTACTTTATTAACATCAACACAGCTCTTTTAGAATTTAGATATAGATTTTAATCACAGATTATACCTTTTTCCTGTCTTTTTGTGCCATGCAAAGCAACTTTTGGTTTCAATGCTGCATTATAATATAATTTATTTTTTTATTAAATATATTTTTATTGACTTAAGAAAAGAAGGAAGTGAGAGAGAGATATAGAAACATCCATGATCAGAGAGAATCATCAATTGTCTACCTTCTACACGCCCCACACTGGGGATCGAGCCCGCAACCCGGGCATGTGCCCTGACTGGGAATTGAATGGTGACCTCTTGGTTCATAGGTTGATGCTCAGTCACTGAGCCATGCCATCCAGGCCATAGTATAATTTCTTTAAGTCACTTTATATGGAAATTAAATTTAATATGGATATAACCAACAATGTATATAACTCAAATGAAGTCATAACAATATGAATGGTTATGACCTAGTTCTTGCAAAGGCAAGCAATAGTAACTACATCTGACTACTGTCTGAGTGGCAGCAATTGTACAATGTCATGGATTCTATTTCAGAAATGTAAACAAGTAGAAAACCGTACATTTTAGAGTCAATGAAATGGGAGGGATTTCTTTCTTACCCAACATGGCAACCTTTGTCATTTAACTGGAACATTCAGTTGATTTCTATTTAAAGTAATTAGTGATGTATTTAGATTGAAATATCATCTTTGTATTTTTTGCACCTGCTTTATGTCCTTTCTAAATGTTTATTTTGTCTTCTGGTTTGATAAAGCATTTATTTACTATTCATATTCCCCCTCTATTAATTTACATGGCATATACGCTGGCAGCCGTTCAGGATACTTACAAATATTCTCTCACTTCCTTTTGGTAACATGATAGGGTGGCATTACCTGTCCACTTGAAGTTAGGTATGGTCATGTGACTTACGGGATTACTTTGATGTCTTCCTTGCCATGCAAGATGTAATCGATGACCTTGTAAAAGTTGATTTCCTAGGCAAACGAGATAGAGAAATATATACCTTCACCGTCTGAGACAGAACTTCAGCAGGAGTGTGTCCATGACACAGGCCGTGTTTTCCACTCTGTGTTCGTGGTTTTCCAGAAGCACCAGCCTGACTCTCCAAGGGTGTATCCCAGCTGCCTCTGCAGCTCACTGTCCTCAGCTGACTCTCATGGTTTGCTGTGCTTCTCCTTAGACACAGTTCACAGTGGCCAAGCAGGGGCTGGGATCTGGGGCTGGTGAGAGGGATGGGAAGTGTTCTCAGGGAATCTGGAAGTTGAGCCCAGGAAGAAAGAGGGAGAGAGAGACTGCTGCTGAAGTCTAGGGAGAAAGGGGAGTTGAAAGGAGGCTCCTGTCCCACTTAGAATCATTGTCAACCCAGCCAGCCTCTATACAGGCCTCAGCTCTATGGTCACAGCCCCTTTTCTCATTCATTCCTATTGTCCAACTGCTCTCTTTGCTATGTCAGCTCTTTCATACCTGTCTGCCCAATCACGCCTCATGCCTCCTAACTCACTTTCCACCTCTTTCATCCTTCCCACCTCCTTGCACCATTAAAACTCCCATTCTCTTAGAATAGACCTGTTCAATTACATGACTTCCTAGTATGCATTTGGATACTGGCACAGCTCCTTTCCCTTAGCTCTCCAGGGCAAGTTCCAATATCTGATCAGATCCTTTCAACTCCCAGGTGTGACAGGCAAGTCAACAAGCATTCAACAATGGGAAGAATAAGACCAGAGAGAGGAAAGGACTCATTTCTAGTGAGCCAGGACCAGAATCTTGACTTTTAGGCTCAGTGCTCATTCTGCTATGTCACTTATGGTTACCAGCTTAAAAAAGTGTTGTATTCTGCATCACTCTCACCTAGAACAGGGCCATTCAAAGTGGGGTCCCTGGACTGATACCTGTCTGCAAACTATTTATTGCTTTTCCATGATTATATGAAAATAGAAATTGAGAGTTGGCATTTAGGAACTTTTATAGCAGTTTGACTGAGTTAAGTTAGGTCTCTTGAAACTAAAAAAGAAGAGAGACTTACATTTTGCATGTTCGTTTAAATTCTCATTGTTTTTAGCTATATATTTTAACACATTTTGAAAGTATCAGTCCGAAATGGATTAGAAATTTGCAAAGAAAACAGTTCCTTTACTCCAGGTATTTTGAGAAGTGCTGCTCTAAATACTGACATGTAGAAACCTGGGCCCCAACCAAACCTCCTGACTCAGAACCTCCACAAAGAAAAATTCCCGATCCAGGCAAGGGTGTCTGAAGGTCCACTTGGTAGGCAGGCGATCATGAGCTTCTTCATGTGGGAGAGGCTCTGCTCTTCAATGACCGGAACTGGCAGCAGCTACAGTGACTGAGTCCTTCCAGAAGGCACGCTCTGGCTAATCAGGAGGCAGAGGCCTGAGCTCTTCCAAGGATGACAGCTGCCCCAGGGTAGACAGGAGCCCCCTCGAGTAGGAAGCATCCAAGGGGAGACTAGATGAACCCCACAGCCTGATGAAATGCTCTAGAGAGGTGGTCGCCAACTGGTGGTCCGTGGACCACCGTGAGGTCCGAAAGGTTGGTGACCGCTGCTCTAGAGTGAAGGCTCATGCTCTACTCTTGGTTTGACTAGGTGTACTCTCTGAGCCTCAGTGTCCCCAGCTGTAGTGCAGGTGTGCTGTTGTTGTTAGGCACCAGAACTCTTTTCCCAAACAAAGCATGGGATCTAGTCATAAAAGGCAGTACCCTGTAGGCAGTTCTAGAAAGCAAAGATGGCTGCATTAGCTGCTGGGACTTTGGTCAAAAGCTAAGTTTCCACTTGGGAGGAGGAGGAGGAGGCTGATTTCCATGAGCTTCTCGACCTTCTGCAGGTCTTTGCTGCAGGGCCATCTGTCCTTGGGCCTGGCTGCTCGCTGCACTCCTAGGCAAGCTGCCAGCTCCCTGGGCGCCACAGCCTGTCCTATCGAGGGAGTTCACGAGACTCCTTTAGAAAGGTTAGAAGTGGGCGTGGGTTTTTTGAAACCTACAGGAAAATTAATATGCTTTCACAGAAAGCAACAAAAAGATCAGTGTGCCCTAGGTAAACAGGGCTTTTTCCATACACTGTAGCTCAGCCAAGTTGCCTTCAAGGCCATGTTCATGTAAGAATTCTCAGCCTTTAGAAAGTCAAAACTGAGCCATCAATGAGCACCTTTGTTACCTTCCACCTGAGCAGCTAAGGCTACCACACAGGGGTCTTTGAAAGAGCCACAAATATAGACATAGCCGAAGCATCGTGTGTGGAAATGTACTAGTTTTAAAACAAGTGCTAATTTTTGTTTTGATTCCTCCCCCCCATAAAGCCTAATCAGCCTCTATAATTTTTTAATAATCAACACACACACAATATTTTATTTTTAAAAGGATATAAAGTGAGGGGTAACTGCCATTAGGGAGCTTTAGACCCAAGATCTGGGAGGTTAATTGGTCAAAATCCAGACAAAAGCTCTATTTTTAATGTGAATGTGGCAGATAAAATGAGGGAGTGATGTTAGCAGACAAAAGGGAATGTTAAAATAAAAAAAAATAAAAATAAAAAATAAAAAGCATGATGTGATGTCAGTTACCAGGAAGAAAAGCATTCTGGGTTTGAATATGTGCAAATTATTTGACCACCTCCCGACCTCCATTTCCTAATGGGGAAAGTGAGGAGACCTCCTCCATAAACTCATTGAAAAGAGTAAATGACGTAATCCACGTTAAGTGCCTGGCAGATAGTGAGAGTCAACCCAAGTAGCCATGATGACTAGTGTGCCTATGGTGTGTCAGTGTATGATTCACGTTAGTTACCAGGACCTCCTGGGTCAGCTGGATTACCAGGTGGTACAGATGAGGAAGGTGAGGCTTAGAGAGGTCCCCCAGGCCACAGAACTAGCTGGTGAGCAGGGATCTGAACTCAGGCTTTTTTCCTCCAAGCCCATGCTCTTCTCAGAAGATTCACTTTTGGTCAATCTCGTCATGCTGTGTCTGGGCTCGAGCTCAGGCCTTTGTGTGCCGTCCTCACTAGCTATCCAGGACCTGGAACTGACTTTGGAGATGAGTTCAGGGACAGCTCCCCTAGATGGGAAAATGAAAGGTCCAAGGTACTATTTGGCCAACCTCACTGTACAAGTGAGCAACCAACCAATTCCAACGTCCTTTGTCTTCTGGCCTTTTTCCATCTCAATGTAATGACTCATAGTCTTGCAAGGATTGACTGAGCCTGTGCTCCCTGAGATGGAGAAGGTTTTGGGGAAGGAAAAGTCTTAGCCATGAGTGTGCTAATTACCTCAGTGAAACCAAAACTTCTTGAATTAAACAAATGATGGGCAGCTCTTCCTGGGCTGGTGCTCAGTGAGAAAATACCCTGTTCAGTTCAATCTTAAAGGTCGGGGTACTCTAGGGTGATGAGCCAGATAAGGTAGAACACGACATTTCTCTGGCCACCTGGGAGTTAGACATGACCTCTGATCTCAGGGCTCAGCTCAGAGAGCTGAATATCAAAGCAGCCATGGAAATCAAAGTTAGTTGAAGCTGATGGTGTCTGAAAGCTATGCTGATCTCTATTGTAGTTCCTCCCCTCCTAAATTCCAGGAGATACAAGTCCAGCTCATATTTTGGAGCAAAAACTCATAACATGTCAGCTATACCAACATGAAAAGCTGTACTTAAAAAGGAAATGTGCACCCAAATAGCTTGTGACAGTGGTATAGGACGCAAACCTTGAAGACTCCGTCTTTCCTAATGAAATCACGAACTTGTGTGAGTAAAAGAATAGTTTGAAACTGGACGACAGTAAGTGATAAAGGTCATTTTGGATAAAGCACAGCAGACCATGTGGATTCCAAAGTTGAAATCTCTTCTGGTGTATTAATAAAGCTTACAGGCAAGGGTGTTCATATTGAATTCCCACAGTTTGAGTCTACCACAAACTCACACACACCTTTATTTTGAGTAGGGTTAGGGTTGGCTGGGTGGGGTCAAACCTCCCAGCAGAAATTGACATACCATTTCAAACAGGCTAAAAGGGCTTGTAGGAAAGCACTGGTTTAAAACTTACTCCAGGAAATGACTCTGCTGCTTACTTACCCTGTGTGGCCTCAGCTAAGGTCACTCAGTTATTCCACAGGTTCTATAGGCCATTTGAGGGCTCAGTCTATTTACCCTGGACCATTTCCACATTCCCACTCATATCACATCAGTTTCTTTCAAATGTTTGTACCTCATCTTGAAAAAAAAGCAATGGTATGAGACCAGCGGTCACAAGCTCGAATGCCTAGAGGCCTGACAGAAACAAAAATGTGAGCAGGGGGGGCCAGGTGTTCACAGGAGGGGACTGTGGCAAACTGGAGAGCTCAGACCACATTCTACAGAGATGGCTGCTACCCAGCTCCAATCAAATTTACCCTATGGGATTGTGGGTCCGGTTTTGACTGATCTTCTACCTTTTCAAAAGAAACCGAGACTATAGATATGTATGGGAAATACCTTGATTTTTTTAAGTGCTAAGCTACCAATTCAATTTTTTAAAAGTAAAAAGATAGATTTTTAAATGTATGCAGTCAAACAAGTTTACTTATTCATTGGAATTGACCTCTGGCTACCAATTTATATACTCTCAATTAAATAGTAAGGATATTTCCAGGTCTTATTTTCTGAACTCCTGCTGGGTGAATTCTTAAACAAGTTGCTTGATCTTTCTGGGGCTATGTTCTCTTTTGTGGAATGAGAATGTGGATTCCTTCTTGTTCAACCCACTAGGTTACTATGAAATTCCAACAAGATATTAAAGAACCTTGTAAATTACAGGACTTGGCTATAGTGAGAAATGATAACTTTAAGGGAGACATCCCAACCCAAAGAAAAATACCCAAGTGATTGTTTTAAAGTCAGCAGTTTTATAGTATAGTGCTTTACATCTGCATTTCATTCAACATTTTATCATATTGAGCAGGCCAGAGAGAGACCTACCCTTCCATCCGGAGTCCTTGGGCCAGTGTATGGTGGAGCTTCACCCATCAGTACTGGCCACACATCAAAAAATTCCTAGGCATGAAGAAAACGATAATTACATGTCTTGAAAATACATGATGGAAGGGTTGGCTAAAACAATGTCCTTTGCAGTATCATTTATAATAGTGAAAACTTAGAAACAACCTAAGTTTGTTGTAGCATATAGTGACAATGATGCTACAGATGTGTATGTATTGATTAAAAAGGTGTCCATGATATACTGACAAGTGAAAAATGTGAGGTGACAAAAGAATATAGATCATGTGACCCAAATGTTTAACTATATATAGAAAATGTTCTCAAAGAATTCACAGCAAAGGAGTAACAACTGGTTTTCCCTGGGTGATTGGCATGAGACTATAATTTATTTAGCAGTTATTCCATAGTAAAATATATTGCTTTTGTAATCAGGAAAAAAAAATTTTTTTTCCAAATGAGAAAGAAAAAGCAATGGGGCCAAATATGGATAGATAGACTTGTATCTGAGATTCAACAAGAAAGATGACATTGAAGACATCTGACAAAGACAGACATGGGCAGAGAGAGAAGAAGGAGCCAGCAAAGGCACTGTACCATCACTTGGACTCAGGAGAAGAAACCGACTGGGACACTGCAACAAGCTTCTCCCTGCTGCTCCTCAACTGGTTCCCCACTGTACTCAGAGCTGCACAGTCCTCCAGTGCCCTCTCTGCTCATTTGTGAATTTTTAGGGTCAGTGATAGATGAGTGCTGGATTTGGGTGGTAGGATGCCAAGCCCTCTTGCTCTTGGCCTCTCTCTTATTTGAACAATCTTGTCTTGGTGGTTTGCCTATCCTAATATCATCCAGAGGACAAGAAGAGGGGGTCAGCTTCTTCTGGACTACTGACAACAGGACGAAATTCAATTCTGGGTGTGAAACATGAACTGGAGCCCTACCTGAGCCCCACAACATGCTTTCTGCTAGATATACAGAGATGGATAAGGCCCAGTTTGCACTCTGGAGAAACTTTCAGTCTCATGGAAGAAGCAATCAAGTACCGGAGGACCGGTCAGGTGAATGGGCTAAGAACCAAACAGTAATGGAAGGAGAACACAAATGTTAGAGGAGCCCAGAAGGACAGGTGCTCTGGGCTGACACTGCCTGTGTCAAACACTGGATGGCTCTGAAGATTGTCCTGTGGGGAAGCAGAAGTCGTCAGCAAGGGATTGGTGGAAAGTAGGGCATGTTTATGCCTGCCTTCCTCTCTCTGTCTTTCTCTCTTCTTCTTTCCTTTAAACAGCTTGGTTGAGATATAATTCACATACTATAAAGTTCTCCCAGTTAAAGTGTAAAAGTCAGTGGCTTTATTTACTCCTTTCATAATGACAATAGGTCAGGTAAGACCTTAGCAACCTGGGGGATAGGTTCTTAGAGTGATTGTAGGCAGCCCAACTCACCTCTAATTGCTAGGGTGTTCCGTGTTTGGGGGATGACTAAATTAGAATGTTCCTGCTGAAATGTGACTTCCCCTTTCACAGGGAGTTTAAAAGAAATGGAGGGCGGAATGCTACAGCATAGAGCAGCTTGCACCTGGGGGCAGATCCTTTAAGGTAAAAATTGGGCACCTTAAGATGGAGTTTTTCTAAGTCAGCTACTCAGAAATTTTTTGGATTTAAAAAAGAACCATTGCCCTAGCCCAGTGGTTCTCAACCTTCTGACCCTTTAAATACAGTTCCTCATGTTGTGACCCAACCATAAAATATTTTCGTTGCTAGTTCATAACTGTAATGTTGCTACTGTTATGAATCGTAATGTACATATCTGATATGCAGGATGGTCTTAGGCAACCCCTGTGAAAGGGTCGTTCGACCGCCAAAGGGGTCGCGACCCAAAGGTTGAGAACCGCTGCCTAGCCGGTTTGGCTCGGTGGATAGAGCGTCGGCCTGTGGACTGAAGGGTCCCAGGTTTGATTCTGGTCAAGGGCACATGCCTGGGTTGTGGGCTTGATCCCAGTAGGGGTCATGCAGGAGGCAGCTAATCAGTGATTCTCTCTCATCATTGATGTTTCTATCCCTCTCTCCCTCTTCCTTCCTCTCTGAAATCAATAAAAATATATATATTTTTAAAAAGAACCATTCATTTGTATGAATCCATTCATATGCTACTTTCTGAAGGATTATCAAAGGGTTTATTGCTACACTAGATCTAAGGTCTTTTCCAACCCCAGATTCTGCAATTCACCTACTCATTCAACCAAATATTGGGAGAGTCTCCATTGCTCTGTGCACCATGCTCAGCATGACAAGGCATAAAGTGAAACTGACAGGAATCCTGTACCTTGGACCTTTGGGATAGGAAATCACGAATCTAAATAACTCTGGAATGTTATTTGGTTATTCCAAGGCAGAGCATGATTAGGCTCAGGAGGCAGAGACAGAGAAAGAGCAAGGTGAGAGCTAGCGTGGGGAAACCTAGCTGAAAAACAATGCCAGGAACCTTCTCGGGCTCTCTCCTTGGCCAACGTATCTGGGGCAAACCTGGCCCCTGAGCATTCTGAGGGACTAGACCGAAGCCTCTGCCCCCACTTCCATTGCCTGGGTCAGCCCTGGGCTCTCTGAACCATAAGACAGGCTTCTGCCCACCTTTGAGTGCATTTTCTGAGAATTCCTGAAGTTGGCAGCTTTCTTCTTTCTGGATTGTCACCCTATATAGAAATCTCTTTATCACTCACCCACACCTTCTCACCTACACTTTCTTTTCTAGCTGACGAGGGAAGATGCGGGTTGTTTTTACTCACCTGTGCCCTAGATTGACTTCCCCCCTTTAAATGTTGGTGCTCCTCTCCTCAGTGTAAAACTGAGACAGACTTTCTACAACTGTCCACATCCTCCCGTGCCAATGACTGGGTGACACAAGTCTGGCTCCTCTCGGTGTATATTTAACCTGTTCTTGGAAAGGTTCACTCCTTTCTCACCTTCTGCTTGGTCATGTCTAAAAGCCCCACAGAGTATCTGTCGCAGTTGAGGAAGGCTCGGACCGTGTACAGGGCTTTGTGGAACTGCCTCTCAATGTCCGTAAGCTCTTCAAAGACTTTGCTCCCCGACCACAGCAGTATCTGCAGAAACACCAAAACAGTCAATGTTTTCGAGGTACAAAGCAGCAGCTCACTGAGCTAGAGGAGAATGGCAACTCTGTCAAGTTCTCTAGAGTTTATCTCCTTTCACCCTCACAATAATGCTGAGATAGAGACAAGGTAATCATCCCCACTTTGTAGACAGAGAAACTGAGGTCCAGGGAGGTGAAATCATTGGCCGGCTTACCACGCTCTCCACTTCTGTGATATCATAGGTTGTTAAAGAGAAGGAGAATAACAAACACTGATTGAGCACGAGTGCTTGTTCTGTACAATAATCTTTTGAGGGTAGAACCATAATGATCCCCATTTTACAAATGGGAACACTGAAGCTTGGAGAGAGTAAGTGGTTTGCTCGGGTCTTAGAGCTAGTAAGTGACTTAGCGGGGATTCAGATCCAAGCTATCTGACTTGAAAACTGGTGCATACAATCACTCTGGAATAGAGCTTTATAAACATCCACTACCTCCTAACACCAGGGGTGTTGGGCAGAGACTGTGTGATGGTTCTTACCAGCTTCCTGATCACATCAATGTTCAGTAAAAAAGAAAAACACGTGTCCAGCCCATTCCCGTGAGCCAAACTCCCTACCTGACCACGCCGAGTCTCACAGTTGTGCAGGTAACTCAGATGGAACACCTTCATAATTAGATTTGCAAAATTGAGGTACTTGAGCAGAATCTGAAAATCAACGAGCATGTGGGGAAATAGATGAGAAGAAATCCCTCCTCTGGTCACTTCTACCATCAGCAAACACATGAATATTTTAAAAGCTTCATCAGAGGCAATTTGAGCAGATGGACCGTGGAATGCTGACTCACAGCATGTTGCATTATAAGCGTATAAAACTCCCAGAATATAGAATGTTAATGTAGCTACTATTTATTGGGTTTGCAGTCCCTGTGCTAAGCCATTTATGTATGTTATCTTCTCTGATCACCACAAATACCCCAAGAGATGAAAGCTGTAAAGTAATCCCCATTTTAAAACTGTTTATGTTAAAGCCCAGAAATCAGACACCCAACTAGGGAAAGCCCCGCGTCATTATTTCTTACAAATAAAAAAAATAAAACAGAGGTTCAGGCAAATTAAGTAACTTGCCCAAGTCAAACAGCTAGATATTAGCAGAGCCAGAACAATCACCCCTACATTCCTGGCTCCAAAGCCCAGGATTCTGCCGCGCCTCCCTCAGAGAGCGTCACACTAACCGCTTTGTCTTACGGATGGGGAAACCGAGGCCAAGCCAAACAGCAAGGTTCAGACGCCTTCATGAGCTGGGAGAATGGGCTAGCACGGCCACCCCACACTTTCCAAAGCATTCTTACCTCTTCGTCGCTCTTGGTGAAGTGGGGCCCACCCACTTTATTCACAGCCATGATTATGGCCACCACGTCCTTCCCATTCATTATGGGGGAAGCCAAGATGTTCTTGGTCTGGTACTCTGTGAGGGTGTCCACGAAGTCACAGAAATGTTCATCCTGAAAGAAGGCAGAGAGGCAAGCTGGGTGGGCAGATGAAGAGCAAAGACAATAAAATGCCTCAGAGCTCCATGGTAGGATGAGGCGAGGGGGCTCCCTGTTCTCCGTTGACAAGAGAATGAAGACATTTCCATCGTCTCCCCTTCAGCAGGGCAAGGCAATCGGAGGGAATGTCTGCCCTGAAAACCTCTGGAGTCCAGTAGGAGAAGAAAGCCCGAGATGCACCTGTGAAGGGCTGTGGAGGAGATGAGAGCAAAGCACGCGGGAGCCCTGGGATGGGGCCTTGCGGGGCTGACTTTGCCTGGGGAGGGAGGTGTAGAGAAGGTTTAGTTAAGCCCGAAACAGAAACTTAATGAGAAAAAGACCTTCGTGTGTATAATAAGCACAATTGCTAGCAGGCATCGAGCCTGGCACTTCACCTGCACCATCTCAATGTAATTCTCCCAATAACTTACGAGATGGGGACCATGAATGCCCCATCTTATAGAAGGGGAAACTGAAACTCGAGAAGGTTAACTTTACTTGTTACTTGGGTGTGTGTGACTCCAAAACCTGCCCTCAGCTCTGCTGCCTTTTGGGGAAGCCTGGATAAGGTTAGACCTCGGTCCAGGTCATTGAACAAAGGAATGTGTTGCTTTCAGCTTTTCTGATAGTCCAGTTCTAGCGCCACACAGCCAGTCCAATGGAAATCCCCCTCCTACAAACCTGAATGGGAGGCCCACTATGCATCAGGCCTTATGCTGAACACTGGCGACACAGGAGAGACTAAATGTCAGGCCAGCACATTGACAGAGCAGTAATAGTGATATAGGACATAGTGGTTGGCTCAAAGCTGTGAGAGTACAGACACACACACATACACACACACTCCACCCCTAAAGCAGCCTGGGAGACCAGTATAGGGCGGTGCTGTCTGTGTGGTCAGAAAGAGGAGACAGATCCTAAATTGTTGTCTTCATTCCAAAAGAATCCACCTTCCTGTTTCCTGGTAACACTGTAAGGTTTACCAACTGTCAGCATTGCTTGGAACACATGCCAGCCCAGACATGCCCAGCTCATGCTGTTGTGAGAATGGAGGTGTACTTCACAGAGCAACTGAGAGAGCTTTGCAAGAAATGAGTGTGCAGAGTCTTTTCTCGATTCAGAAGTTCAGAGGGAGATGCTCTGCAGTGGGATTGAATAAATTGGCAACAGCATTATTGTCAGCGAAGCCGTCTCAAACCAGGCAAAGGGTAAAGGAATTAAGAGAAGCCTGTCATGCTGTACTTGAATTAGCATCAGTGGATTAAACAAAACCTCCAAAGAAGCATTAGCCACAGAGCATTTTCCATGTCCTTCTCTAAGGACACTGACAAATCCCTGAACCCAGGTCTGCGTGGGGCATGCTCAGGCTCATTTCATGAGGTCAGTTCCGTCTTGCAATATTCACTTCACCTCTACCAGGGAAAGCAGTATTTGGGCCTCACCTGCGTCTGAGGCTGATGTTACCATCTTTCCCTTGAGTTCTCATCCCTGGAATGTCCTTTACACATAATACAGCTACCAGTGGACTGGCACTTGCACGGTTGTTGCCATCCTTACATTTTCAGCATATAAAGTGTTCTAAACTGTGTCATAGAAACTCAGATTATCAGAGGCAGAAGGGGCCTTAGGAGCCATTTAGCTCAGATTGCTTATTGCTTAAAGTCTAGGAATCAGACACCCAGCTAGGGAAAGCCCCAAGTCATCCATTTGTTCAGTTAACATGAACAGAGCACCTTCTGTAAGTATGTAGGTATTGTTCTAGAGTCTAGACCAGGGGTGGGCAAACTTTTTGACTCGAGGGCCACAATGAGTTCTTAAACTGGACCGGAGGGCCGGAACAAAAGCATGGATGGAGTGTTTGTGTGAACTAATATAAATTCAAAGTAAACATCATTACATAAAAGGGTACGGTCTTTTTTTTTTTTTTTAGTTTTATTCATTTCAAACGGGCCGGATTCGGCCCGCGGGCTGTAGTTTGCCCACGGCTGGTCTAGACCCTGGACTACAGCAGTGAACAAGATGGGTAAACTTCTTTCCCTGGTGAAATGGGGTAGGCTGACAAAAAGTGGGTAAACAACTAAGCATTCTCTCTCCAGGTTGTGTGACTGCTCTGAAGGAGAAAAAGGGGGTGATGCTATAGACAGGGGTGGCAGGCTGAAGCTACTGTAGTTAGTAAAGATGGTGAGGGAGGCTTCTCTGAAGAGGTAATCCTGAGAGCTGAGGACTCACAGGAGCCAGGCAAGTAAAGCGCATTCAAAGCAGGAAACACAGAGAAGGCAAAGGCGGGGGTGCAAGGGTGGACGTGGACAATGATCTGAGAAACAGAAAGAAGACTAGTGTGGCTGAAGCACAGGGTGGGAGAAGGGAAGTGGAGGGCAAGGCAGTGAGAGACATGGGCAGGGCCTACCTGGCAGGGCCTTGGAGGCCACTGTACAGGGTTTAGATTTTATTCCAATGCAATGCAACACTGCCTCTCATTCCCAGAATCCTCAGTTCCTGTTTTCAAACATTCACAGTGCCAAGCTCCATTGTGTCTCATGATGAGATCTACTGTTTATTGAATAATGATGATGTACTAGGCCCAGAGCCAGATAATTTACATATATTGTCTCATTACCCCTCATATCAACCTGCCACCTAGAACTGTCACTTTTCCTGTTCTATAGACAATTCCTTGCTGGCACATGGTATAGTGACTTCATTCACTCATTAATACACTGATTGATTGATTATTGATTGATTATTGATTGATTGATTCATTCATTCATATTTACCGAGCACTGACTTTGCCAGAGGCATTGGATATGCCAAGACTAGTAAGAAAGCTGAGGTTGTCCTCACTGGGTTCTCACAGTAGAGTGGGGACATCATGTAAAACATGTCCACAATTCCAACCATAATGTCGGGTGTCCCCATGGGATGAGTGGTACCCTGGAGCCCCAGGGAAGGAGAGACTTGTTCTCTGAGTGGCTGCAGGGACCCATCAGTACGTTGTCAGTAATTGAAACCTCTCCAGGCATCAGCTTCCTCTTTGGTAAAAAGCAGAGTATTGGGACAGGTTCTCCTTGCAGTTTCTTTCTGATGTAGAGTGCTGGGTTCCCAGTCTTATAGGAGGAGGAAGAGAGCAGGAAAGCTGGATATCTGATATAAGGGTCTTTGAAAGGACCGTCCTCAGAATGGGATTTGTCCGTGTCTAGGAAAAACTCACTGTTTTCCTTTACTCTCATCTCACATTACCACATTCCTATGCCACTTCTACAACCAGATGTGTGGGTGTTTTTCCACCGCCGACTACTTCTCCGGCACCAGCTGAGTGTCCTACAATTCAGTTCAGTTCAGACACTATCTACCTGGAGCTATCATCAGACCCCACAAGTTAAGGGTTCAGTCCCCTAACACTGCCCCCACTTCAATCCCCAGTCACTGTCAGAGCCCCAAATAGAATAAGATTTCTCAAGCAGGAACAACAGGAGAAGCAAACACATGCAAATGCCCAAGTACACAAGGCTTGGTGGCCTGCACTGACTTCAACGCCAGGCCTGAGTCACCAGCCCAGAGACTGACCAAGGCTGGGAAACTTCCAGAGAAACACAGGCATGACTTCCAGAGTGAACCTTGAAGTGGAACAGGAAGCGGCAGGCTGTCCATTAGACAGGGGTCAGCAAACTCTTGGACTGGGATCTTTGAAATCAGGGAACTAAATTCCCAGCCCTGCAACACCAGGGCCCAGAGAAGCTCTCGGTACCTCTGCTCTCTGTTTTTCCTGTAAATAGAATCTAAATTGAAATCTCCAGAAGGGCAAGGAGGCACAACTGGATTCTTCTCCAAGTCCCATGCAGACCTGGCGCAGCGTCCATCCCAACAACAACAAAACAGTAATAACAGTAACAAGAAGCAGGAGCTGCCACTATGAGCCATTACAATGTGTCCAGAACCCCACTAGATGAGAAGCAATTCTCTCCTTTAATCCTACCACAGCGCTGCAAAGTAGGTATTCTCACCCATTTTATAAATTAGGAAGTGAGCCCGGACAGGCTAAATGATTTGCCAAGACCAGTGATGGCGAACCTATGACACGCGTGTCAGAGGTGACACGCGAACTTATTTTTTTGGTTGATTTTTCTTTGTTAAATGGCATTTAAATATATAAAATAAATATCAAAAATATAAGTCTCTGTTTTACTATGGTTGCAAAGATCATAAATATCAATATAAGTCTCTGTTTTACTATGGTTGCAAAGATCAAAAAATTTCTATATGTGACATGGCACCAGAGTTAAGTTAGGGTTTTTCAAAATGCTGACACGCCAAGCTCAAAAGGTTCGCCATCACTGGCCAAGACCATGTTCTTAGAAAGTGACTGAGTCATGGTTCACCCCAGATCGGACCTCAAAGCTCCACACCCTAACGTTCCGCCGTACGATCTGAAGTGACCTTTGGTAAACAGCACCTGGCCCAGTGCCGTCATCTTACAGATAAGGAGGAGGTCTAGGAGAGTGGGGCAGTGAAGAGTGTGGGCACAGGCCAGGATGCCCGGGTTCCGATCCCCTCGCTGCCCCTTTCTCTCTGCAGGACCCTGACCAAGTTACTTAACTGATCTTTCCAGGTTTCAGTTCCATCCTCTGTAAAACAGGTATAGTCAGAGTGTGTCATAGACCGTGACAATCCATGTTGGCTACACTTAAAATCTAGAGAGACTTGAAAGGAGAACACCCCCCAATCCAGTGATAGGCGAGTCCTCAGGAAAGCTCCTTGGGTGCAGGACCGTTACCCTTGGCCCTGGGTGTCCAGAGGAGATGAGGGAGAGAGGAATACCACGGGAGGTCCCGCCCACTGTGTTTCAAAGAAAACCATCTCCCACACAGGCCCAAGTGTGTGCTGCTTATCTTGCCAAGGAATCTGAGTCAAAAAGATGACCCGTTTGAATTCTTCATGGATGGATGTGAAGTCCTGGGCCTGCAGTAACTCCTTAGTGACTTTGAGCAAGCCCCTTCTCAAGCTCTCCTGGCTTCAGGCTTCTCACTCACTGAATAAAAGTTCAATGAGATGATCTCTGAAGCCCCATGGCTCCTCCTCTTTTTAACCTTAAAATCCTTAATTTGAAATAAAGTCAGAGGCAAGATGAGCACAAAGACACAAACTTCGAGGCTGGATCTTGGAAATGACCAAAGACAGGCTCTTGGTTTAGCCAGTACAGCAATAAATGGGAAGTGCATGGGCCTTGCTATCGCGGGGCAAACATTGTCTCAGGTGAGAATTTGTTAGAGGAATTGATCCCTTGGACTACACGGGTTTGAACTGCATGGGTCAACTTATACGTGGATTTTTAAAACCTGCACAGTTCAAACCGTATTGCTCCAGAGTCCACTGTATGCCATACGACCTGGTTGTGAATCTTTCATGCCAAGTGTTTACTGGGCATCTGCTGGATTCTGGGTCCTGAGATAAAGAAAAGAAAAAGGCAGGCATGGTCCCCGGCCCCCAGGACTTACTTATTGTGGTAATGGGTGTTAGGAAGGAGGCTGTAACAGGGATCCGGGATGGCCTCCCGGAGGAGGTGACCTTTAAGCTGAGATCTGAAGGATGAGTAGGAGTTGGCCCTGGCAGAGGGCTATGGGGAGAGCTGCATTCAAGGGATTTACCCCCGGAGATCAAAGAGGTCTTTGTCAGAGCTGCCAGTAGAATCCCACACAACACTGGACTCTTAGAAGAAGGAGCCAAGTGCTCAACCAAGTGCTCGATGCTAACATGTCCAGGAATGAGGTAGACTGCCATCCTGTCTCCTGAGTTAACGCACGAAGCAAAGCACCACCTCACCTCGGTGGTATCCTGCCAGAAACACATAACCTGAATCTAGGCATGAAAACATGTCAGACAAGCCCACATGGAGGGACATTCCTGTAAAGTATTTGGCCTGTACCCTTCAAAAACATCCGCATCGTGGAAAACAAAGACAGACTGGGGAACTCCTGCAGATTCAAGGAGACAAGAGACAGGGCTTCCATTGAGATGACTGGCCAAATGGAATAGGACTGTTCATTAGATAATAGTATTGTGCCAATGTTACATTTCCTGAATTTGATCTTGTACTGTGGATACTTAAGATCTTTTCCTGGTCTGGAAATACACAAGAAAGAGCCCAAGGTTAAAAGGGCATTTATCTGTAATTGACTCCCAAATGGATCTGAAAGAATGGAGACATAAAGCAAGTGTGGCAAGATATAAACAACTGGTGAATTTAGATGAAAGGTATACAGTTCTCTGTACTATTTTTAAAATTCAACTCTTAAGTTTTTTTTCCCAAATAAAAAGTCACAAATAAGTAAATAAATAAAAAGAAGCACCAAGTCATCACCAGCTCAGTCATAGTGGCCAGCAGCTCCCCCATCCCAGTGGGCTTTGCAGTCAGAACGCCCCCCCACCAAATAATGCCTCCCTGCCCTCCCTCCTATGGGGAAGAGGGTACCTCTTCTGTGTTGGGGACGTTGGTGAGCTTTTTAGAGTGTGCGACGTGGCCCACCACGCCCATGTCCAGGGGGAACACAATCTCGGAGTCGGGCACCACCAGACACTCCTCAAGGGCAGCATCTTTGTGGACATTGAAGAGGCGGGTGGCCAGCTCCGCGATGCCATTCCGGGCCCTGTACATGAACAGGCTCATGCGGTCTGCCTGCAGGAGGAAGCACAGCTTCTTCATGACATTGAAGATGCATTTCTCGGCCTGCAAGTTCTCCTGGAAGTCCCGCAGGAGGTCGAAGATGATTTCACTCTCCTCCACACTGCTCAGCGGGTGGTAGTTGCTGAAGTCCACGGCTGCCTCCTTGGCCCCCAGCAAGTCTGAGATGACCTTAGCTCGGTAGCGGAGGTCGTAATACTGTTTGGCAAAGCCGACATTTGAGTCCAGAAACTTCTCCACCTCCTCTTCCGTCACCTCGTCCATGGCTGGGAAGTTCAGTGGTTACTTCCGTGGAGGGGCTGAGGCTGGCCTTCTGAGGACAGTTTGGTCGTCTGTGGCAAAACTGAGTCAGGATGCGTTCTGCTCCACCGCGACTTCTCTGGGTCTTGTCTGCAAATCTCACAGATGTGGCTGCATAGGACAGGGAGTGAGCTTGGGAGATTAAATCATTAATATTCCCCAAGAAGAAGGATTACGAGGATCAGAGTGTTCCAGATGCCGCTGGGCCCCAGATGGGAGAAGGTGAGAGTTCTCTCTTCACCTTGGCCCACTAATAACTGAGAAGAGATTTTTGCACAGAGCAGGCTGTGAGCTCAACTAAAAAAAAACAGACACTGAAGCAGACGCTGCAAAGTAGGTGGCACAGGAACCATCTACTCCTGTAGATTTGTTTTCTCTGCTCTGTGTAGTGTTTCTCAACAGTTGACAGAATCCTTCAATTACTGCTTAGATGTGTTTGGCTTCTCTTGGCGAATCGGAAGACGTAGTAATTGTGTTCTCTTTCCTCCATGGCGGGAATGGTTAGAGCCGAGAGGCACTGCCCACCCAGCTCCCATCCCCCGGTGCCTCACCCCTCCTCTCCATGGCCCCTTCCCCAGAGCCTCCCTCTCCAATTTGGAGCTTCAGGCTGCATTGCTAACCACTGAGACAGCTTCTCTCATGTATATTATGGGTCTGGCACCTCTGGGCCCCTATTTCACAATCTCTGCATCGAAGTCTTTCCCAGCTTTAGATTTCAACGATTCTCTTATTTCGAAGGGCCCTCATAAATACAGCAGCAGGACAGAGATATTATAAGAAGACAGTTCCCAAGTTGCTAGAGGTGGAATTTTGAGAGTTAGACCTGGAACTGAGTCTGGGCCTGTCATTTGCTACCTGTATAAAGTATTTAATTTGTCCTAGACCTCACTTTGATTATCTGTAAAATCAGAGTTATTTTAGAGGGATGTTGTGGAGATTAAATGAGATAATATGCTGAATGGTGCAAAGCTATGCACCCAGTGTCTATTAAGTTGAAGCATATGAAATTGCCCCCCTTGGACTCTTTTTATCCTACACAAGTGGCAATTTCATACTGTTCAATTTAATAGGAATCATCTAATCATTATTAGTTATCATAACTATCCAAGATTAACTGGATTACCCTGTCATTGAAGGTATGGGAGAGAGAATTCAGACATCAGTACTTAAATAAGAAGTTGAATCTGGGGATAGAAAGTTAGTAAGGAAGTTGTTGCAACCTTTCCAGAAATATGAGGAACTGACCTGGGATGGAGGTTAAGAGAATGGAGGGAAGGAAGTGGGTACAGAAGCAAGAAGAGCGTGAAAGGCACAGTGGCTGACTGGGGTAGTGAGAAACAGTGGGTAATCCGTGTGTCCTTGGGCCCCAGTGGTAAACTTGGCACTGAGTGTCCCCCTTCAGGACATTTCTCTGGCATTAAATGTTGATTTAGCCTCTATGTCAGTGGTTCTCAACCTGTGGGTCGCGACCCCTTTGGCAGTCGACCGACCCTTTCACAGGGGTCACCTAAGACCATCCTGCATATCAGATATTTACATTATGATTCATAACAGTAACAACATTACAGTTATGAAGTAGCAACGAAAATAATTTTATGGTTGGGTCACCACATGAGGAACTGTACTTAAAGAGCCAGAAGGTTGAGAGCCACTGAGCTAACCCTTAGGATTGCTCGAACAGCCTGCTTGGTCTGCCCCCTCATTTTATACTACCTTGGTGCATTCCCATATTTCATTTGTTTTTACTCTTAACCTGGAGTTGATAGCAGTTTCTAATAGTTCAGCCACCTGTTGACTTGGTGACTTTTTGCAGTTACTTGGGTCTGTCCCTGGAGTGTGGTGACTCTGTGAAGTTCTCCTTGTTTTACCGTAAGGGTCTAACCTAAATCAATAGATGAGCCATGTACTAAAAGTTTGTCTTTATGTGCATTTTAACCTCTGTGCATTTTTCGAAAGCTCTGATTCTAAAAGGGATCTGTAACTCAAAAGCAGTTAAGAACTTTGGGGAATCCTAAAAAATCAGGTAAAATTGGCTCCTAAAAATAAGCTTTGTGATTATACTAGTAGAAAGGCAACAGGTAGAAGGGTATACTTGGGCTTTAGGACTGGAGTGAGCTGAGTTTGAATCCTCTCCTATAATTTAAAAACTTTGACATTGGGCAAATTACTTAATCTCTGGTCTAAATTTTCTCTTTTGCTAATAATGATTAACAATGATACTTATTTTAGAGAATTGTTGTGAGGATTAGAGGCAGTATATGTATTGACTTTGGTTGATGGACAGTTTGCAATAAATGTAGCCACTAATAATGATAATGTAAGCTAAGCGTACTTATAATGTAAGGTAAGCAGTGATATTTGGTAAAAAGCAGAAGTAATGCAAATATATTTCCCTTTGTTTTGGGGGATCCTCACCCAATGCTATTTTTCCATTGCTTTCAGATAGAGTGGAAGGGAAGTGGGGGGAGAGAGAGAAACATCAATGTGAGAGAGACACATTGATTTGTTGCCTCCCACATGCACCCCTACCAGGGCCCAGGATCAAGCCTGCAACCAAGGTACATGCTCTTGACCTTGAACCCATGACCCTTTGGTCTGCAGGCCAACACTTCAACCACTGAGCCAAACTAGCTAGGGCTATTTTCCTTTTTTTTTTTTAAACCAAAACTTTTATTATTTTTCTCTTTGGAAAGTAATATATCTTTGTGTTGTAGAAAATTGAGAAAATGCAGGTAAATAAAAAGAATGGTTACCACTCAGAAAAATATTTTGATATACATCTTTCTTTCCCAATCATCTACACTAATAAAAGAGAAACATGCAAATTGGTGTCACTCTGCTATGCCCACCAGCCAATCAGATGAGTATGCAAATTAACCCAACAAAGATTACGGCTAATTTGCATATGCAGGCATGGAGCAAAGACTGAAGACAATGTAGAAGGAAGCCAAGTGCTGCAGAAGGGAGCAAAGCTGCGGAGTAGCAAGCGGGGTGGTGGAGGCGGGAGGGAAGAAGCCTGCCGTGGGTTTCACTCTCTTCTCTGCTTTGCTCTGGCCACAGGAAGCCCTATTCTTGCAGGAATCTTCCTGCAACGGGCCTCTAGTCTAAATATAATTTTTAAAACAAAACTGACTGTGCAATATATATTTTGTTTGTTGAACAACATATGTAAACATTTCTGTGCATTAAATATTCTTTTACTATGTGATTTTTAATGGCCCCATAGATTTCCATTGGGTGACTGTAACATAATTTATTTAACATACATCAACTATTGGTTATTTAGCCTGTTTCTAATATTGATGTTCTTAATGAATATTTGTGTTGTTAAATCTTTACACACTTGCTTGATTATATTCTTTTTTTAATTGATATTTAGAGAGGGAGAAGAAGGGAGAGGAAGAGGGAGCGAGAGAAACAGTGTGAGGGCAAAACATCAATTGGAGGGAACATACGTGATACTTTCAACAATAAAAATTTAAAAATTAATTAATTAATTAATTAATTAAAACATCAATTGGCTTCCTCTTGCACGCCCCTCACTGGGAATCAAGCCTGCAGCCTGAGCATGTGCCCTGAACGGAAATGGAACCAGCATCCCTCAGTGCATGGGACGATACCCAACCAACTGAGCCACACTGGCCAGGGCTGATTGTATTCTTGTCTTCTTAATAAAAAACTTGTCCAGAAAGACAGAACAGTTTCAGTACAAATTCCTTAAGAAGCTGTCCTGGCTATTTAAAAATATGAGAGTTTAAGTAAAAAAAATAAATAAATGGGAAAGTCAATATTTTAATGCAAAGATCATGTTCCATTTTGAATGGCCATCTCCCATAGAACCTAGCACATATCCCTGAAAGAACAAATCTGGGACCCCGGCTTGTGATAGCCAGGAAATGTCAAATAACAGATCACTTTCTGTACCTAAATATTTGTGACAAGAGTGAATTCTGCTCCACCCCAGGTGTAAGAGTCACATTTCCTTTATTTCTCCAAATCAAATGTTGTATGTTCCAAACTCCCACAATTCTAGAAGAATATTCAATCCTGATAATTATGGTGACCGCTGCCTCACCCCACGGTCATGTGAAGGGCTGTTGGTCTAACTCAGTCCAACCAGGAAAAAGCCCTCTGGCCTTCAGTCCACCCTGCTACCATGAATGTGCCCTTGTTCAAGCTGGTATGGACCCTGGCAGGCCAACAGTTCTGCTCTTCACTGGGCTCAGGGGTCGATTGTTATGGCTCTAGCTTCCCATGTCAGGGAGAGGCCCAGATCCTTGCCACTCAAAGACCCTGAAAAACCTAGGCTCCATCTCGATCTTGGGGAGGCTTTCAAAAATCTCCTTTCCCCTGACTACATGGCTCTCCTGCCTTTCCCCCTCCAGGACAATCAGCCTAACTTCCCTCAAAGGTCCGAAGCAGGAGGGGATCTCTTTTTGAGCCTGAGAGTGGTTGCTTCCTACCCTGCCTTGCAGTGGCCCTGAGAGGCAAGCGATCTAGAAGGGCCAAGCCCCCTCTGGGGATTGGGACCGAGGTGGCAGAGGAAAAATACCCATAATCATTCAAGGTCCTATCTGTAATATTTTTTTAGAAAAGAAAACAACATGAATGTCCCAAATCAATGTTAGTACACCCAAATAATGGAATACCATGCAGCTACTGTGGCCAAAGATGACTACAGCAATATTTCCCAAACCACATGTTCTTCTTACAATGTGGCTTTGACACTTCTCCCATTGAGACTTGGGGTCTATTGCCCTCCCCTGAAATCAGGTGGGCTTTTATAACTTTCAACCAACAATGTGCAATAGAAGTGAGGCTATGTGACGTCTGAGACTAGATCGTAAGAGGCTATGCAGCATCCTCTTTGCTTGCTGGAATGCTGGCTCTTGAGGCCTTTAGCTGTCATTTAAGCACAGACTGCCTTGAAATTTCCATGGTGTGAGGAAGCTCAAACTAGCCCACACAGAGAGACACAAAGAGAAGCCCTAAGACTACCTGCAGAGAGATAGCCTTCAGCTGCTTCATCCCCCATTCTCTGTCCCAATTCTAGCCACTCTCTCACTATAGCTCTATGCGACACCACCAATCAAGCTTTTACCAAATTCCTGACCCACAGAAAC